GCATTCCTGTACCTTGGTAGGCACTTAATATATTTAACAGCTGGATATCAGAGACCTGATGTTAGAGGTGCAAGTTTCCTCCCTCATTTGAGTTAATGCCTTCACTGTTTCAGCTGTACATAGGTGTTGGAGCATCTTACGGATCACGCATTCTTCCTTCTGCTGCAATTTTGAAGTTTCAGCTGCTTAGAAATCTTTCCTTTCTCTCTCGCCTCCCCAAAATAGAAAATTAAGATCTCTGCTTCTTTTAATTATCAGACTCATCTGTAAGGGAGATGATGACAGTTGGTTTGAATTTTATTTTAAAACATTGAATTGCTATATGCAGGTTGTTTTGGGTTTTTTTGTAATGTACTTAAATTATCTATTTGGGAGCACAACAGCGTGTCCCTATAATCCCTTTTGGTTGATGGATGTGAAAGTTTAAATTAAATTTACAGTTCAAATGAACATGTTGTAGAACGTAAACCAATTAGGAGGTACGCTTCATTGTTACCAGCTTCAGTTCTGCTCCCTTTGCAGCACTGTAATGTTCAGAATGTCCTTAAAGACTTTCTTTCTGATGCCTTAACTTATTTGCATTTGCTAAAATTTTGTAGCTGGTGCCTGTGTGCAGAAATTAACTGACGTTAAACAATTTCAAGCGGCATGAGCTAGTATAAATCCGATGAAAACGCTGAATGTGACAATTTGTTAATGGTTAATAGATTTCAAACTGCTCTGAATTTTTCAGTGGATACTTAAGTTTTGCATAACTTGTCATGTATGATGTCTTCATTAGTTCTAATACATTGAGGAAGTGTACAAAAATCCATGGAAAATGTGAATAAATGAACGGGAGAGAAGCGTCTCGTGTGTATCACCTTCCCTTTGAGTGTATAACACTGCATTAATAAAATGAATTTTACAGTCAGTTGCTTGCAGGTGAGCTCCTGCCTAGCAAATCCCGCGCACGGGCTTCCTGCTGCGAAAAGGAGCAGTGTCCGACTCTGCCCCTTCCTCGAGCCGGCTTTGAAACCCGTCACGTTGCTTAGAGCCACTTCAGGAAAAATGCTCTCTTCTTGCAAGGTCAGTGAGCCGAATCAGCTCAGAGGGAGGAGCGAGGGCTGCCTTGTACTGGAAAGGGTAAAGCTACTTCTTACGTGCTAAGAGAATGACTGTGGAGATCGACCTCTCAAAATCCCTCCACCGGAATACCGAAAGATTTAAGAGCAAAAGTAATCTGTGTTTGCCTGAGGACATACGTAGAAGTTATTTTAGATCTAACCTAAAACCACTATCCTAAAGCCAGGCCACAAAGTGATTCTTTTCTTCAATGGTTTGTGACAGTTTGGCAAATAAAAAAATAAATAAAAAAGGCAAATAAAATCAAGACAGACTTGTCATGACAAGTGTAGATCATCTGTCCAATGCACCATGAACCGCTGAGACCGTGAGAGCGCCTGTCATCCAACTGTACTTTCTGCTGTTGGCCACTACCTTAATTCTGTTTATGGTTCTGGAGCTATCCGCTGTATGCCCACAGACGGGAGCCGCTTCTTGCATGAGGATACAGTTAGTGGTCAGCAAAAATTATCTCAACGTCATCACCCCCCACCCCCCCCCCCCCCAATTACAACGACTGAGAAAACCAAGAGCCTATGTTCCATTTTCAAGGATGCAGTTGTTGCTCTCGACAAAGCGCCACATTTCTTCCAGAACTTTTTTTTTTTTTTTTTCTTCTTAAAACCCCACAACTTCATGCACTGCAGATGTTGGCATTATTCCACACTTTGGACATCTCTTACTTCCTTCTACTTAAAAAGACAGCCAGCGCTGCTTGCAGAGTCTCCCCAGCTTTTGGCAGCCGTAAAGAAAAGAAAGCAAAGTAACGGTTCTCAAGAGCAGAAACGAGCTTATTGCTCATTTCAGGCTGGGGCAATCTAGAACATCTAATGCTTAATGCTTTGTGAATCCCCAAAGACTTTAGCACTTGCACAACAGGAGGGGGCAAGAGTAACACTGCGGGAGACAGCAAGTGCTGAACATCCAGACTAAGAAAATGCAACACTCCAAGAACAGTCGGCATTAATCAGAATCAGTCCCTTTCCCAATCCAGCAGGAAAACGCCCCTCACAGCAGACTGGTTACAGCAACCAAGTCATACAGAAGTCAGAACTGATTGATCTGAAAAGCACATCAAGTATAAGCTAAAGGCTATGTATGTGTCATCGGCTAGGAAAATGGTGAAGATGACAAGTAAACTTTAACCGTGATCCAAACGATGCATCGACAGACAGGTTACCCGCTGTAATCAGTCTCCTACTAAAGGCAAAACTGAAAGCCAGATGAAGAGCAACAGCCAGCCAAGTAATTTTGAGCAGCATAGCCTTAACACATGACACGATATTTGAAGCTGTGAATGAGTTCAGACTCAAAGTTCGGTAAACAGCTTGCTTTGGTAAAATACTTGCTTCATAGAAAGGTCGTAAGACAGACAACTAAA